TTTAAGATTTTATTTATTTATTCATGAGAGACAGAGAGAGAGAGAGAGAAGCAGAGGGAGAAGCAGGCTCCCAAGGAGCAGGGAGCCTGATGCGGTACTCGATCCCAGGACCCTGAGATCACGACCTGAGCCGAAGACGGACGCTTAACCATCTGAGCCACCCAGGCGCCCAAAGATTTTATTTATTTATTTGACATAGAGAGAGACACAGCGAGAACACAAACAGGGGGAGTGGGAGGGGAGAAGCAGGCTTCCCGCGGAGCAGGGAGCCTGACGCGGGGCTCGATCCCAGGACCCTGGGATCATAACCTGAGCTGAAGGCAGATGCCCAACGACTGAGCCACCCAGGCGCCCCGAGTATGCAACTCTTGATCTTGGGGTTGTGGGTTTGAGCCCCACGTTGGGTGTAGAGATTACTTAAAAATAAAATCTTAAAAAAAGGGCTATTTCCATTTGCAGAATAAGTGTTCCCATTTCCTTGACAAACTCTGGCACTGTTAGACTTAAATTTCTGTCAATCTGATAAATAGGAAATGCAACACATTTTAATCTGCATATCCTTAATTGCTGAGGTTAAGGAACTTTCCACATGCTTACTGGTGACCTGATTTTCCTCTTCTGAAAATTGACTGTTCCAAGGTTTCTGCCTACTTTTCTAATATGTTGTTTGCTGCTCAGTAATTTACAGTTCTTTACAGAGTTTGTATATGAATTAACAAGCAAAAGAATTGCAAATATCTTCTCCCAGTCTGGTTTTGTCACTTTATATTTTCACTCGATATAAAGCTTCATCCAATTAAAATGATCATTTTTTTGTTTTTTTCAAAACTGTATTTTGGGCCTTTTAAATAAGATTCTCTTCCACCTTAAGGCCATACAGATACTCTTCTGTATTTTCTTCTAAAAATTAAAGTTTTGCTTATCATGTTAAGTTTTATTTTATCCACCTGGAACTTATTTCTGCAAATAGCAAAAAGAAGGAATACAATTCTGCTTTTCTCCTCATATGGATAAACCAGTTACCCTCATACCGGTGAGTGACGGCAATTTCCATGAGAACAGAGGATTTTGTCACTGCTCTATTCCTAGCGCCTTGTCAATGTCAGACACACAGGAGGCACCACTATTGTTCTTCCTCATCTAGTGAATCATCACCACCTGCATATAAACTTGATAGAATTTCTCTTAGGTTCAAAAATTCTCTTGAGCCCATATAACCCTCCAGTTACTACCTCATTTCTTTGTTCTTCTTTACAATTGATCTAAAGTGTTGTCATATGGTTGCCTACTCCAGCTCTTTTCTTCCCGTTCTCTCTTAAACCCATTCCAATTAGATATCACCCCCATGACTCTGTTCAAACTGCACATCAAGTTAATAGCCTCCATGTAGCAACCTTATTTGACCCAACAGCAACATCTGAGTCGAACACTCTCCCTTTGTCTTCTTCTAAGACACCATTCTCCCAGTTTTCTTCCTACCTCACATACCTCTCCTTCTGAAACTTCTGCTGGTACCACCTTAAGATCCAAACATTTAAATATTAGAGGGACTCAGGGCTTAGTTCACAGACCTCTATTCTTCTGTCTGCATTCATTCCAATGACTTATGCAGTCATTTTTAATAACCACACGTACACAAAGAACTCCCAATTATTTATCTCCAGCCACTACCTCTCCCTTGACTTCCAGACTCAGATATCCAACTGCCTACCTGACATCTCCGCTTGGATGTCTAATAATTATTTCAAACCTAGCATCTAAAACTAGACCCTTAATCTTTCTTACCACAGCCTTCTCCATCTCAGTAAATGGCATCTTCATCCTTTCAGCTGCTTAGGCCAAAATCCTGGGACACTTCCTTAACTTCTTTTTCTTTCACACCCCATATCCAAATTATTAGCAAAGCCTGTCAAAATAATGCCTTCATAATATATCCTATATGTACCATAGACATATCTATCATCATATATGACTACTTCCCCATCTCCACTGCTACTACCTTGGTTCAAGCCACCCAGGATCTCATGCTGGATTGTTACAATAACCTCCTAATTTGACTCCTAGCTAGCCTCC